GGCCAGGCGCCGATCCCCGTGCTGCATGGCAGGCTGGAGACCGGCCCAGTGCCCTGCACAGTGCACTCTGCGGGTGGGAAAGGTGGGAATCTCCTTGTAGCTAAATTTCCTTACTCCTAACCCTGGGCAGTGCCTCAGAAGGAGAAAGGTGTCTCTGGGCATCCCCTCTGGTTTTGTCATCAACACTGTTCCTTGTCCTTGGTGACTGGCCAGTGTTCTCCCCCTCCTGGTCCTCCCCACCCGAGCCCGTCCCAGGAAGGCCCTGGCTGGCCCTCCGCTCAGCGGCAGACACCAGCTCCGTCCACAAGGTGCCTGGCTCAGTGCGGGCGGCTCTGGTTTCTCTCTCTCTCTCTCTCTCTCTCTCTCTCTCTCTCTCTCTCTCTCTCAATTAAAACCCTCCTCCAAAATTATGAAAATGCATGTGTTTATTGCAACCCCTGAAACAACACAAAGATATCTGTACAAAGAAAGGTTTGAATAATCTTTTCTTTCTGTCTCCGTTCTCTCTTGTCCCAAGAGACTGGGCCCCCTCTCTCTCCACCTGCTGTCCCCATGGTCACCAGCATCACCAGGCCTTGCCCAGCCTGTGGGTTCTGGGGGTAGGGGAGGGGGTGGGGTAGCAGGAACAGGTGATAAAGGGACGGGGGGGGGGGGTGCGCGAAGGGAGGGGTCAATCTGGAATCAAAGATAATCAATTCTCACCCACACATTTTTTCTTAACTTTTTAGTTTGATGTCATGTGAAACTTTGAGAAAAGTTGTACGATTCATACGAGAAACTCCCACGTGCCCTTCACCCAGGATCCCTTACAGTTTTGCCAATTGCCCTCATAATCTCTCTTTTTTCCAGGTTTACCGAGGCACAGGTGACAAATAGACCTGTCCTGTGCAGTGCACACTGTGATGATGTGATATGAGCCTGTATAATAATTCCCTTAATAGAGTCAGAGAGCCAAGCCAGACCACAGGCAGAACCCGATTGTCACGTGGCTCTGGTCTCTAACCTACAACCCCTTCCAGCCTAGCTTTGACCTTTCAGCATTGATGCTCTTAAAGATCACAGACCAGTCACTGGGAGGACTGTCTTCCCATGTGGCTCTCCCAGGGTCTCCTCACGATCAGGGCCAAGCTGTGCCCTTTCGCACGGAGTGCCTTTCGTCCCCATTCTTCAACACAAAACGCCAAACCTGGGTGCCTCCTTTTCCGCGCATTCGACTCCGCTCCTCAAGGACAGTCACTAGCAACACGGGTTGGTTTTTGCCACATTCTCCGGATGTAGGGCTAAAGTACTGCATATATTTGAAAGTTCCTATTTGTAGTCCTGAAAGAATACACTGAGTGGCCAGATGATTATGATCTCTGAACGCATAGTAATCTGGCCACTCAGTGTATATCCTATATAATAAAAGGCTAATATGCACATTGTCCCCTCAACCAGGAGTTCAACCAACAGGCAGGCCAGCCAACCGCTTGTGTCCCCTTCCCCTGGCCAGGCTGGACCCACCCATGCACAAATTCATGCACTGGGCCTCTCTCTCTCTCTCTCTCTCTTCTCTCTCTCTCTCTCTCTCTCTCTCTCTCTCTCTATATATATATATATATATATATATATATATATATATATTTTTTTTTTTTTTTTTTTTTTTTTTTTTTTTAGAGAGACCTAGTGCATGAATTCATGCACAGGTGGGGTCCCTTATCCTGGTGATGGGGGCCAATCGGGGCTGGCCAGCTGGGAAGGGACCATGAAAGGTTGGCTATAGGAGTATACTGACCACCAGGGAGCAGAGTTCCTGTCTTGAGCATCTGCCCACTGATGGTTAGTGTGCATCATAGTTACCGGCCAATCATCTGATCATAAGGGTCGTTTAGGCTGATATATATATATATATATATATATAGATAGATAGATAGATATAGATATAGATATAGATATAGATAGATAGATATAGATATTGAGTGGCCAGATTATTATGCATTCAGAGATCATAGTAATCGGGCCACTCAGAATATTTGTTTCTTGCTCTGGATTTTAATACGGATGGTCATCACAGTGTGAACACTTACCAGGAGCTGACTGAATCTCTTGGCAATTCTGCCTGAAAACGAATTAAGTTCCTGCCTAACTTATGGGCTCTTTTCTTCACATCAGAGACCCCTCAAAGCCTCTGCCTTTGATGGAAAAGCAGAAATCCTACCAGTTGGCTTCATTCAGTCAGCCAGCCACCCTGCAGGGGGCTCCCTGCCCGGTGCCCGCTCTGGCCTCTGTTCACTCTCGGCTGGTTCTGACACCAGGGTGTGAAGGAGAAGTGAGGAAACAGGCCCTAGGGAGCCACCCAGCCCCAGAGAGGGCGAGGTGCCACCCCCTACGGGCACTTTCCCTTCCCCTCGGTGGGCTCCTCTCGTCCCCAGAGCCAGGGTCACACCCCGGTGCCCCAGCAGAACCGGTGTTCACCAGCGGTGCGGTCTCCCTCCTGGCTTCGGGGTCTCCTGGAGGGGCAGGAGTAAGGGAAGGCGAGCATGGCCCTGGCCTACCCATGGCGGGGCTGCTGACTCTGAGCTGTGGGCCCAGCCTGTCCCCATTTCCTCTCCTTCCTGCCATGAAGGTCTCTGCCCAAACAGCTGGTGGGGTGGGAGCAGGGAAGGTGGCTGCTTGCCTGTGGGTGGGTCCGGTCCTCACTGGCCGAGAGAGGGAGGCCTGTGCAGGGCGTGGTGCAGCTGCAAGCACCTTGGGTGGCGGCGATGCTATCTGGGCCTAACGGTTTCCTCTCGGTCGGCACTTCCGCCTCCCGCCTCCGGTGGTGAAGCCAGAAACCTGGGCTGGGGCAGCCCCCTCTGAGCAGAGAGGACTCCACGGAGGCAGCGAGGGGGGCCCCAAGAGCCAGGGCTCAGAGATGGGCGAGAGCCCAGGCCCTGCACCAACTCAGTCCCCACTTTCAGGAAAAGACAGGAAGCAAGACCACACATGCAAGCACGCAAGGCAGTGTCCCAGGAAAAGGCCTTCCTGCCGCCAACTCTGCCTGGTGCCTTCACCCCTAGCGCCCTCACCCCTGGCGCCCTCACCCCTGGCGCCCTCACCCCTGGCGCCCTCACCCCTGGCGCCCTCACCTCTGGCGCCCTCACCTCTGGCGCCCTCACCTCTGATACCCTCACCTCTGGCGCCCTCACCTCTGGCGCCCTCACCTCTGGCGCCCTCACCTCTGATACCCTCACCTCTGATGCCCTCACCTCTGGTGCCCTCACCTCTGGCGCCCTCACCTCTGGCGCCCTCACCTCTGGTGCTGTGCCAGAGGGAAGGGGACTCGGCATTAATTGCCAGCGTTGGGGACCCCAGAATGCCCATCTCTAAATAAGAAAAACACCGGTCCCTATTCATTTGAACTTGCACACGGGGCTAAGCATTATAAAAAGTTGCTCTTTTCAGAGTGCCTACTAACTAACCTGCATAGGTGAGGAAAGCGAGGATCAGAGAAGTTACGCGACTTGTCCGTGGAAGCACTGCTAGAAAGTAACAGCTGGAATTCAACTCCCCATCTGTTTCTGAAATCCAGGGTCATGGCCCGTGCTCAGCTGCGTTCAGTGAACGTGGGAGACTCGTTCGCATGAGGGCTGTCCGTGTTCCAGAAGTTCCGGCCTGCGGGGCTGTGTGACAGAAGGAGGCCCCGTTTCTGAGGCAGCCAGAGCCTGGACGTTGGCGTGAGGGGCAGAATCCAGGCAGAGCTTTGTAGCGGGAGCAGCGCTCAGCACAGCGCTCAGCACCCCGGGGCCACCGTCCATCTCTGGGATGGCTCTCCCTCGCTGGGGTGGTGGGGCTCAGAGCTTGGGGATGGGGTGGGGTCACCGATGGCTGCGGGACCACACAGAGGCTTCCCTGCCAGCCCCCTTCACGCAGTCTCAGAGGCAGGGCTGTGGCCAGTCCTTGCCCTGCAGCAGGAAAGACGCTGCTCCAGGTCCCAGGCCGGGAACCCCGACTCCCATCAGTGGGTTCTTCCCTCTTCGCTACCCTTCCCTCTGCTAGCGGAACAGAGAGGAGGCCCTTCAGCAGCCGCCCGGGAACTGAAATCCCGCACCCATCAAGCCTTACTGCTGCGGGAGCTGGATACCTCTCTCCTCTCCTTCCTCCTGTCTCTTCTCCTCCCTTTTCTCCTCCTCCCTCCTCCTTCCCATCTCCCTCCTCCTCCTTCTGCTCCTCTGCCTTCTATCTCTCCTCCTCCTTATCCTCTCCCTTTCCCTCCCTCCTCCTGCTCTTCCTGCTCCTCCTCCTCCTAGCACGCAGAGGAGGGATGGACAGGTTGGTGGTGAAAATGTGAGGCTGGGAGGTGGGGCGGTGGAGTCAGAGGGGAGGGTCCTGTCCCTCCCACAGTGCTGGCTCTGGGGCACTGCTGTCCCCTGGGCCAGGGTTAACTGGCATCAGCCTCCCGCAGGCTCAGCGGGCAGGCCGGGAAACCCTGTGTGACATGAGTGCAATTAAAAGAGAAAAAGAGTTGGAAAGGGAGCAGGAAGGATGTCCCCAGAAGAGAGAGGTCAGACAGTGAAAGAACACTAACTCTCAGCGCAGGAAAGGAAGAAGGCGCACTGAGGGGGGAGAGGCGGAGAGGCTGAAACCCGGCAGAGACCCGGGTCCGGACCCACTTCTCCGGGAGAGGCGCCTGGCGTCCCACCATGTTTGGGCACACGGATGGAGCGAGTGGCTCCCTCCGAGCCCTGCCCGGGAGGGGACAGTATCTGTTTAGATTTGTGTCTAAATTTAAACCCGATGGCCAGCCTCCCTCCCCTGCTCCTCCCCCTCCCCGCCCTCCCTCTCCACCTCCTCCTCGCCTTTCCCTCCCCCGCCCCCCCACCCTGTCCTCAGCAGAGGCCGGAGGCTGGCTGTCCCGCAGCAGCTAGCAGAGCGGCAGGCAGGCAGCCCTCCAGCCCTGCCGCCCAGCGGGACCCGGGGGCCGGAGCGGGGACAGCAGACCTGGGAGCGTGGGCAGAGGAGCGAGGTGACACCTGGAGGACATGGAGGTACCGCGGGGCGGGCGTGGTGGGCGGGCGCGGGCTGGGCAGGGCGCGTGGGGTGGGAGAAGGCGATGCCTGCCGCTGGCCACCCCCCAGCACGCCCAGCCCACCTGGCAGACCTGCGGCAGGCGGCGGGAGGGCCGCCAGGGCACAGGGCTCCTGGGTGCAAGCACTTCGGAGCGGGACTCACAGGCTCAGGACACAACTCCGTGAGCGGGCGCTCTGCAGCCCGGCCCACAGAAAGCAGAAGCCCTGAGTCTGGAGCCAGTTTTGAAAGAGAAACAGGGCGGCAGCGAGGCCCTCCTCCGCCTGCTGCCGCCCCCAAAGGTGGCCTGAGCTTCTCCCGTCCCACAGCCACAGCTCTCAGAACTTTCTGCAAAACTCCCTCGCGGGCAAACAGCACCGCTGATGATAAAGCTGGAGACCCCGCTGCACAACCCCAGGAGGGCATGTGTGTGCTCTGGGGCGGGGAGGGGGGTGCTGGCCACCTCTGTGGGGCGCTCAGGGCGAGGCCCGCCCGCCCTTCGCAGCCTGGATTTTCCTGGCACCGGTCCAACCTCAGGGGGTCCAGGAACCACCCCGCAGGGAAGGAGTAGCTGGCGGTGTGCCCGGAGTAGCGGGGTGTGTTCCCCTGCTCCGTCCCCCAGGTCCGCAGCGTCCCGGATCTCTCCCTCGCAGCTGAGAGTGGACATTTAGCCCACGTCCATCCCGGCAAAGTCTGGGGCTTTTGGAAGGAGCTTCTGAGGGGAGGCTCTGAGAAAGGAGACGGCCATCCCGTCTGCTGCCTCCTCCGCACTCCAGCTCTGGCCCGGAGCCCTGGTTGGCTCGCTAAGCTAGCCCCACGCGTGGCCTGGGCTCTGCGGATTCCCTGCAGGCGCCACAGTGTGTGTGTGTGCCGGGCAGGCACTCTGCGTTCTTGTCTTCCAGGGCTGGGGTCACCTGCAGGAAGGCTTTATGGAGTCTGGGGGACTGTGGGACCCGCAGGAGTCTGCGTGTAGATACTTGGGTAAATCGGGGAAACTGAGGCAGGTGAGGGCTGGGTGGAGTGGGGGTGATGCACAGACATCAGCAAGTGGTGCTCAGAAGTCTCTCCGCGGTCTCCCGCTGCCTCCAGCTTCCGGGCAGGAGGCGGAGATGCCAGGATGCCCCCTGGGGGTGAGGCCGCTCTGGACGTGGGGGCCCCCGTTGGGAGCGCGGGCCCCAGGACCCCGGCCGCAGGTTCGGTCTGGGTGCCTGCCTGGCGCCTGTGGCTGTGGGTGAGGGTTGGAACCCGGCTGCGCGTGAGGCCCCAAGGCCGGCGTCCACCTTGTTCTAGGAAGACACAGAGGGACCCCGCGCCCGGCCTTCCTTCTCCCTCGGCTGAGGAAGGAAGTGTGTGTGGCACAAACCCTGAACCGTCACCCGGGTGCTTCCGGGGAGGGAGGGCATGAACGGCCCGGCCACGGGTCTGCACAGCGCGGGGGGGATGGGGGTAGTAACGATGGCTCCACCAGGAGGGCAGCGGGCACAGTGGGCAGCCTCTGCCGGTCGGGGCGCCCTGATCCCACACGCTCAGGTCTGCGGGTGGCAGGGGCTGCTTTTGAAGCGTCTTTTTTTTTTTTTTCCTTTTTTCTTTTTTTATTGATTATGGTATCACATAATTGTCCTCATCCCCCCAATCTCATCCCAAACCCCTCCCTACATCTGAAGCTTCTTTGTGGAAGCACCTGAGTGTGGCACAGCCCCCTCACGCCGGGAAGGGAGGAAAGAGGGAGCCAGGAGCGGGGAAGTGGGGGCTCTGGGCAGGAAGTAACTATGAGGGACGTGCTGTGTGGGAGTGGGGCTGGGAATTCCTGGACAACCTCAGAGCGGATCCCTCTTTTGAGTGGCAAGACCCACTTTGGAGACATGAAGGGGCTTCGATGTTTGGGGAGGAACGGAGTCACAGTGTCCCCACTGACAGGCCAGCAGGCTCCGGAGCGTCCCTTCCTGGGAACCCACGCGCCCGCCGGAAGGCTGGGACATCCTTTCTCTCTTTAGGTCGCTGTGACCGCGGTGGACAATATCCCTCTTCGCTCAGCACAGAGCCTCTGGGGGACGAGCTGCTGGTGAAGGCTCACCGTCCGGGGGAACGGGCTCACTGTGTATCAGGGCCCAGGGCCGTTTTCAGCTGTGTGAGCCAGTGATGGCCGGGGTGGACCCTGCGCTCTCACTGTCCAGACTCTCAAGGAGGCCTGGGGGGAGGAGAGTGGCCAGGAGGGGCGCGGCGGGTGCCGGGGAAGCCACCTTCCTCTGCGGAGGGAGCAGGGGGCTGGGGAGGGAGGCGGGGGCAGCGGAGAAAGGAAAGCAGGGGCAAACCGCAGGCCTCTGCGTGGGGTAGACGCTGGCCAGCGGCAGCCGTTGGGGGGAAAGGGTCACTCTTTCTTCATGCGAAGCCTCCTTGCCTCACTGTGGCCCAAAGGGGGGGCCTCTTTCCGACTCAGACCGAGGCCAGCTCTAGTCTTCAGAGGCTGATGGCCTGGACTCAGCTCATGGGCAGTGGGCATCTCCGAGAGAAAGATGGGACTACAGAATGACACGGCAGGAACGCCAGCCATAGGCCGAGCCAGGGAGCCAGGCAAGGTCTGACTTCGCCAGGACGAGGGGAAGGCGGAAGGCAGGCCTCACCGCTGTGGGGGGGGGGGGGGTGACCTGTGGGTGGAGCTCACCAGGAGCCGGGATGCCAGGGGGGAGGGCTGCGCAGCCTTTGGGGCAGGGACGCTCACGCGTCTTAGGTAAGCAGTGCGTGCCTACACCACAGCCATGCAATCTCACCAGACAAGGCTGTTGACAAATGAGTTAACAAATAGGAGCTCCTTCCCTCCAGCCCCGGCTCCACAAGCCTCCCCAGTGTCCTCCGGCTCCAGGGCTCCAGCCCCTTGGAGCCAGGGCTCCAGCCCCTTGGAGCCCTCTGTTCAAATCAAGTGAGAGCGCCCGGCCTCTCCCTGAAGGCTCCCTGAGTTCGGGAGCCCGAGCGCCTGCACCCTCGGCCTGATGGGCACATGATCCTCGCTGGTTGAATGAGAAACAAATGCTGGAAGGTGAGAGAAGGATCGGGTGCCCCTTTTTAAAGCCAGGCTTCCACCTGCTGGTTTTGATTGCCTTGGTAGGCATGTCCAATACAGACCCCGGAGGCGCAAGTACGAATTCTGTCCCGGAGAGGTGCACGGCAGGAATGGAAGAGGGAAGTGTGCAGTAGAGAAAGAGGAGACTCAGGACGCGGAGGTTAAAGGTCACTCTGAGTACTCTCACATGGGCTGTCGTCAGCACCGAAGAGCCAGGAGCACTTGCAGAAAGTCTGATTCTTGTGGACTAAGCCCTTCATTTGCTCAACAAGATAGTAGACACGTGACATCAGCTACTATTCAGGCGAACAAGTGGGGGATCCAGCCGGTGAGAATTAGGCTTCGTTGCCGTTGGCTAAACGGTGTCTGCTTTATTTTATTTTTTATTTATTTATTTTTTCCCCGGTGTCTGCTTTGGATGGAGGCCGTTAGAGAGGCCTTTTCTCTGAGGAACCCCAGGCCCTCCCCGTTCTCACCTGTCCTTCCCCGTTCATTCTGTGATTGAGCACTGGCTACACGCTGGCGTTCATGCTTCAACGACACCGAAGGTTACTGGGCCATCCTATCTGTGATCCTCACAGACTATCGGTATCACTGCGGGGTGGGGGTGGGGGTGGGGGCATGTGTTAGTATATACAAGGTGTTCATTGTACTTCATGAAGTGTTTTCTCCCCCAGTCTCACCAACAGCCTTCGCTGTTTTGGGATCCCTCCTCTCGCTGAGCCCTGGGTCAAACTAGGGACTGTGTGGCCTCTGGGAGCTGAAGTGTGTGGTTGTGGCTGCCTACTCCTTTTCTTTTCCTCTTCTTGTTTTTTTTTTTTTTTAATATAATTTTATTGATTTTGTACAGAGGAGAAGGGAGATAGTTAGAAACATCGATGAGAGTCATCGATCAGCTGCCTCTTGCACGCCCCCTACTGGGGATATGCCCGCAACCAAGGTACATGCCCTTGACCAGAATCGAACCCGGGTCCCTTCAGTCACCAAGCCGACGCTCTATCCATTGAGCCAAACCGGTTTCAGCCCTCTTCTTGTTTTTTTTAAATATACTTTATTGATTTCTCACAGAGAGAAAGAGAGTTAGAAACATCGATCAGCTGCCTCCTGCATACCCCCTACTGCAACCAAAGTACATACCCTTTATTGAACCCGGGACTCTTCAGTCCTGGGACCCTTCAGTCCGCAGGCTGACGCTCTACCCACTGAGCCAAACCAGGGAGGGCATGCATACCCCTCTTCTGTCTGGCTCCGAGGCTCCGTGGGACTCTCGGTAACAGTGGCTTCCACTAGGAGAACCTCCCATTGCTGTCCGCAGGGACGGGGGAGGCTGGGGTAGCGGGACTGAAGGCCCGGGGCCTGTCACGGAGGCCCAGCACATTCTGGAAGGGGTCGTGTGTCAGCCTGCGGAGGCGCGGCCCCTCGCCGCCAGGCAGCCAGGCAGCGGAGCTTGGCCGGAGGGTTGGTTCCGTGGGAAATCTGAACACTGGCAGCTCCGTGGCCCCGTAATCTTATCAGGGCCACCGGAGAAAGCTGTTGATTTCAGAGAAATTATCCGCAGGCAGCTCCGCCTGCCTCCAGTAATAGCTTCAAGCTTGCGGAGCCAGCTCGGCCAGCCCTGCTCACGCCCTGGCACGTCACAGCTCACGCTCCGGGCGGGAGGAAGCCACAGAATCGAGGAGAACCTGAGACCCCCGGGAGGGACGCCGAGGGCCCGGGAGGGACACCAAGGCCATGGGCAACGCCGAGGCTGCGGGAACCGGGCGCCCTGGGCCTTTGCAAAGCTCCCGGCCTGTCTCTCATCTGGGCAGTAGCTCAGCCTAAGCCCTGAGAAATGAGATGATCAGCTTCATCACAAAAGCAGCATTCACTCCTGGTTGGCCTTCAGGGCGCACGTAGATATTCCTATGTCCATGGAAACAGGAT